AAAATAAAGATTAAAAAAATTCAAAAACTTAAAAAAAAAAAGTTAATTTTAGCTTCCCTATCCACACTTTAAATATATATAAACTCATCAATAAATACACGAATAAATAAGTGCTACATATAGAGAAATAGCCAAAATAAAAATGATAGCCTATACCTAGAACTATTCAGCATCCTGGAATAACTCTAACAGTGTGGGACACACTCCAAGGGCAATCAATAAGCTATCAATTCATAAGATCCCCCCAAAATCAAAACCCATTAGGGATCTATAAACATTATGTAGGGACTTCTCTTAACAGATTTTCAAATACAATTTGGTAATATGGTATCAAATCAAACTAATTAGAGTTGAGAAATAATAGGTTTTATTTTATTTTTCTGGGTTTTATTTTTCTGTACAGTCCAATTATGTATTCCCTGAGGTAACCAGTATTTAATTAGTAGCAGGGAAGGTAGTGAATGAATGATACTTGTGGTTTATTATGAAATACAAGGTCATCATCTTTTAAAAAAAGGCAAAGTTCATAAATCTAGGAACTTTTACTCCCTCCAGACTCGTCTCGGTCACTCGCAAGAGATAACCAAGGCTAACAACTTTATAAGATTTGTATTACGGTATGACCCATCTAACTACACACTTGGAACTTTATCTGGAAATAATGTAAATATCTCATCATCCAGTCATGTGAGATGGGAAGGGGGGCGGGGGGGGGGGGGGGGGGGGGAGTCTTGGTAACTCCCCATCCCCAACCAGAATAGTTCATTGTTTACATACTGGATGTTCTGATAAGCCTCTAAAGAAAAAGGCTCCTCTGAGTTTGAAAAGATGTCCTAGATTTAATGTGATTCCTAACAAAAGGGAGACTGCTCAAAGACCCATTTTTCTCTGACTAGCATTTAAATAATAGGATAACTTTCCCTTTTCCCCCATTCCTTTATTGCCCCTAGCCTTTAAGGAGAAGTACCTCATCTCCACTCTGGATTTTCCTACTAGACTACCCAACACCCTTGGCACAGACATCAGAAAACAGAAAATTTTTAAAAAGCAATTTTAATGTTAATTTCCAAAACAGAATCTTAAGTTGAAAAGCAGCTTAATGGTCAAATATTCAGACTTTAACAGCCAGTACCCCCAAAGGTTACCAGCATAAGGATGTTTTGAGATTTAAAATTGAATAGTATCCACAACTATTCACATTGATCACCCAAAAACTCATTAGCAGATTGGACACAAGACTATGATGGGTCACAGGGAGGACAGGGGAGTTTGGAGGTAAAAAAAAAAAAAAGTCCTCAAAGTCAATACTGCTAAACACTATTCCAATCATTCTTGATCATGCTCTCATCCTCATACCTACATAAAGAATATATTGTTACAAAGGGAATATATTTAACTCCAGCTCTCAACTGTGGGTAGAAAAATACCTGCCATGCAGTTCTCAAATGAGAGATACTAAACACCTAAAAATCCCTCTTTGCACCTCAGAGCACCACCATTTCCCCTCCAAGAAAGAAGACAAGTTTTATCTTGAGACATACAAAGCCTCTCCAGAATCAGAACAATCTACTTCCCAATAAATAATCAACAAAGACCCAGTGTAAAGTTTCATAAAGCAGGAATCCATAATACAGGATCCTATGTATTCTCCTTGTTCTCTGGTATGGAGTAATCTATATGGCTCTAATAAAAATACTGAAAAATCTGATCTGTGACTACCAGTAAGCCTCGAACCTAAGCATCATGTTATCATGTATAATATGCTACAACAATTCTGGGGATCCGGCGGGTAGCTCATCAAATCTGCTTGCTAAATAAAACGGTATCAAACTTCAAGTCCATTAGTAGTAACAATGAACTATTTACTCTCAAATTCTAACCAATCTATAAATATTTCAATTTTCCAAGTATTCAACTGCTATATTCTGGCAGACTCAGGCCATAGGAAAGAACAATTAATGAATCAATTTACCATAGTGTTTCTACAAAAGCGCAAACCCTTCCCTACAAAAGCTTACAACTAGACCGAACAAGTGGGTCTGAATATATTCTTACCCTTTGGGACTAAGCTACCTATCTCTCTTCACTCAGATGTCTACAGTTTAGGAGCATTTTACAAACTTACAATGGGCCGTTAAGAGCCATTCACCTCAGAAAAAGGACAACTTTGTTTCCTCAGAAAAATGCATTTATTCTTACCAAGTAATTCAGTCCAGTGACAACATCCCTTGTCGTCTACATTTATTTTGGAGCCAGCATCAGACTTCTTGATAAAAGAAATGCTATTGGGTCCCTCAAAAAGGGATTTTCAATTGGACAGGAAATTAAATGACTGTCTGGAAATTTTTTTTTTTTTTTTTTTGAGGGCCAAGGGAAAAAACAAAAAACACCTTTACGGGCTCTTTTTACCCCATCTGGGAAATTAGAGTCAAGTCACTGTGAAAGATAGAGTCCCCACCCTGAAGCTTATAACCTGGTTATGCTAATCAGCACGACAAAAGTTAACTGCGTGGAAACCCAAACTACTCAATTTAACTGTCGACTAAAAAAACATTATGTCAAGACACATTACGACTTACGAACCCCAAGCTCTTAAGTCAAAATGGTCCAAAAAAAAAAAAAAAAGTCAAAATGGTCCATATATGTTGATTTAGAGAAAACAGTAATCTACAAACACCTATACAAAATCACCCTGAATAAATTTCCTTATTTTTTCATTCCCAGCTTCTCCTCTATTTCTTGGCACACCATATATTCATTCCATTTTTCCTTCCTGAATGCATTCTGGGCTATCGAAAACTTGACTTTTTCAGAGAGCTCAGCAACATACAAGAGGTGTACCGAACACAGACGTATTTTTTAACTTTCCAAGGCCACACTAATCACATCTACAAGAAGGCTAGCAGTCTGAATACCATTGAGTGTGACCCACCAAAGGTCATAAAAGAGGGGAGAGAAAGATTACCTTACGGAGGATGAATGCACGAACAAGGAAGAATAAAATTCCAGACATAATACCAGAAAGCAGTGGAGAGATGAACCAAGACATCACTGGAACAGAACACATTAAAAAGAAAAATGTCAACTAATGAAAATCAGGAACCAAAAAAACTTTAAATTTTAGTATTCCATCTTCAAAACTTTCCATCCCTCCATTTTACACCATTTATTTCATATAATGCCATGGTAGCACATGACAAGAATAAAAATTAAAAAGCCATTTAAAATTAAACATACCAATTTTTATCAGTTCAGACCACTTGACACCCTCCTGCCCCTTTGCCACAAGGGAGAAACCGATGGTTGCACCAACAATACAATGGGTTCCAGAAATGGGAAGCTTCAAAAACGAAGCCACTAGTTGCCACACAGCAGAACCTGAAACACAGGCAAGTTTTATTAAATGGCAAAATTCTCACGAATGCAGTGCCTTCCGAAGAAGAAAACCTGAAAGGGAGAGCCCAAATATGGAACCACCCGCTTGCTCACCCGCCACCAAGGGGGAATACATAAAAAGAACTTACCAAACATAGCACTGACAGAGCCGGCCATCAACAGCTGTTGGGTCGAGTTGTACATCTCCACGTCGATCAAGCCCTTCCTGATTGTTTCGCTCACTTTGGCTCCCAGAAGGACGGAGCCCACGGTTTCAAAAATACTAGCTAGGATGCAGGCTTGCTTGAGGGTCACTACACCTGAGCCCACAGCTGTACCAAACGAATTTGCTACATCATTGGCTCCCACGGAGAATGCCAAGACAAATGCAATAATGAAGCCCAGGATCAGCATCCATAGGTAGTCCATCAATGGACCAGAAGCAGCAGTAGCAGCAATAGTACTGGTAGTCAGCGTTGCCCCGGTAAATGCCATTCTCTAGACTAGTGGTTTTTATTAATTGTAAGAGAATTACTGAGCGGCTTTCAAGATGTGTAAACAGAATATGAGGTATCAAAAATGCTATAATAAATAATATATATTATATAAAATTAAATACTGTAAACTACGGCACAGAAACCGAGCTGGGGAGTTACTGCTATACGCTGCGTATGAGCATCTGTTGTCTGGGGTTTCTTTGGCTCTGGAGGGCTAAAAGCAAGGAGAATTCCATGGCGGAGAAGAGAAAGGACGCAAGTTCATCCTGGGGGGGGGGGGGGGGGGAAGAAAAAAAAACAATAGCAGCGCGCCCTTGGGGGAACCCTTGCGGCGCCCCACGAGGCTGGGTGCTCCGGCCTTGTCCTCTGGCCGCAGCCCACCGGCCCCGGCCCCGAGCAGGGCGCGCGAGGTGGTGGGCACGTGGCGCCGGGGACCTCCTCGTCAGCGCTCGCCCAGCCCGGAATCCCCCACCCCCACCGCCCGCCGCCGGCCCGCGCGCGCCCTCCCCGCGAAAACCGGAAAAGGGCCGTTCCCGCGCGCGCCGCCCGAGGACCGCCAAAAAGGCCCGCGGGCGGGCGGGATGGGGGAGGGAGGCGGACGGTAAGGAAGCCAGAATCCCAGTCCGCCGCCCACGCCGGCCCACCAGACCGCCTGCCGCTCGACGGCGTCGGCGCCTGGTCCCGCCGGGAAAGAAAGCCTTTCCAAGGTGGCGCCACCACTCACCAGAGGAAACCAAGGGCCGAGCGGAAGACCAGACGCGCAGGCTGCGGCGGCGGCACGGACGCACGCACCTGTGGTCGGTGAGCAGACGGCCTGGGGCGGAGGCTCGGGGATGGATCGACAGGGCTGGCGACCCACCCAATGAAGCACCCGCGGCGCCTCAGCGGCAGAGAAGAGAAAGCACGCAGCGCGCACCGGCAGCCATCACTCTGGCGGCACACGCTGCCGGCCGCCACTTATAGCCGGCGCCGCGACCCGCGTGACCCGCAGCGCCTCGCCCCGGCTCCAGAGCCCCGCCCCCGGGGTGGTGCAGCCCACGCCTGCCCGGCGTGCCCAATCGGGTGAGCCCTTCGGCGGCGCTCATTGGCCAGACCCGCGCCCGCCGCCACGCCCCCGGCGGGGAGCTTGTCCACGTGGGGAGGGCCGACCCCCTTTCTGCAGCCTCGCCCTAGCGTCCGTGTAGCGTCTCGCCGCTCGGGTTAGTTACTGGTGGAGGCCGTAGGGGACCCTAGATGTGCCGCCAGAGGTCGTCGGGCCGACTTATAGGGGCGGCGACCAAGGTCATTCCTAGTTTCCCTTTTGCGGGCCCCATTTCATATTGCTGACCGCTTCTCAAGCCTTCTTTTCAGCTTACTTAATGACCTGCCGCGTCCAGAGGCCACACCTGGCCGAGTTCCCTCCCGCCCGTCCAGTGACGCTGCGGGGGAGCTCGAGCCCTCTGGGTCTGGTTCCAGTCTTGGCACGTTGTCGCACCTGTGACTTGCCCTTGGCCAGACAGGCACTGGGGGGGAGGGGGGGGAAGCTCACGTGGTCGCTTTGCTCCCGCAGTCATGCACTTGGGAGAAAACGGAAAGAGTGAAGAGTCACGAGAACCAGGTTGTCTCCCCGATTATAGCGCAGAGCCTCAGGAAGGCTGTGGGTCATTAATTTCCCTGTAGTGGACCTGTGTTTTCTGCGTGGTGGCTGTGGCGCTGGGAGGAAGGACAGTGCTTCAGATTCAAATCCTGACTTCTACTTGCTGCAGTGTGTCACCTTGAGCAAATTCCAGATCTTTCAGACTGCGTCGTCACGAATGTAAAACGTTAACAATCAGTACCTACCTTGTGGCAGGATTTAAATGAGTTAACGTGGGCGAATGAGACCAGAGCTGTGTAGGCACCGAACTCTAATTTCCGGTTTGCTCTTAATGTAAAAATGCCTGTTTTAGGATGTAGGAAAGGGTGAAAGGGGATGTTCTCTTTGCATCCCGAAGCTTTCCTATTCTTTTGACATAAAAATTGATTTCTGGTCTCCTACAGGGTATATAATGTAGTTTTGACATTAATAAGATTTGCTGTGCACATTTGAGGGCATTCTGTTGTGCAGCTTAAGATCAAAAGTAATCATGCCTGGAGATTAAAGTCGTGGTTTCTTGTCAGGGTTGTAGTGAGATTGAAGAATTTCACCAGAAATACTTAACAGGCTTAGAATGTTCTGGAGCCCTCCCCACCTTTTTGCCATCTCTAGCAGCAAGGCACCGAATAGCAGAAACAAAGATGCTGTAAATCATTGCTATGTCTGGGACATCTATGGAGGCTTGAACTACACATGAGTATCCTCTGACCTACCTCGAACATCTGATGGAGTTCTATGAGTAACAAAGTTACAGAGTTACAAAGCTCTTGGTCCCAAGGTCATGTCTGAAAAAGAAAAGTGCATGTCCTGGTGCAATGACCCTACAATGCAATTCTGATGTAATTCTGGCACCTTAAAATGTACTCCTCCCTCAACCTTCAGTTCATTTCAAGGTTATAAAAAAAATGGAATAAAAGGACTGATCTGTTAAAGGTGCTTAGTGTTCTGCCATTTAAAACAATAATTGGGGGGGGGGGGGGGGAGGAAGGCGAAGGGGGTTAATATTACCTTATGATGAGCCCTGGGTAGTCGGCGATCGCGAATCCC